TGGCCAGGGATTGAAGCATTGGCTGCCAGTAGCTTCACAGTGCTGAAATTTAACCCCTTGTGATACCTGGGATACCCAACATTTTATTTTAAATAGTGTTTGCCTTTAAAAAAAATGGTGAGTGTCAGGGTCTCTACATTGCAGTAGCAAATAAATAAAAGCATGTAACTCCTATTATTTCCCTTTTATTTTCCACCTGGAAATAGATACCCTGTATGAGGTCTTACCTGTACGCAACAAACAAATGCCAAACAATGCATACACCAGGGAAAAGCTTGTATATGTTGACTCATTTTGTTGGTTACCAATTACTAATACAACAACTTTTTAAAAGAACTAGAACTAGGGCCCTCCCTGGTGGCTCAGTGGGTAAAAGCACAGCACTAAGAAGCTAACGCCACTTCAGTATGAGTTCGATCCCCACCCTGGAGGTGACCCACTTGGCGTGGCAGACCTCTCCTGACCCACCCGCTGCTCTCCTTAGCAGTGTATTTTGTCAATCTGCCTGTTCTGCTTCCCATTCTGTATGCATAAATAATATTTTTTAAAAAGTAAAATTAAGTTGCAAAATTAATCTGTTTTATAAACTTTATTTTAAGTTAAATTTTAAGTTAAATACCCACTTCGTGGATAAAATACATTAAAAAAATTGGACCTTCTCTAGTGGACCAACTGCTAAAAGCACAGCACTAGGAATCTAGCAGCAGCTGCTTCAGTCCCCGGCCAGGGAGGTGACCCACATGGCATGGTAGAATTCTCCTATCTCACCCGCTGCTCCCTTCAGGAGTGTACTTCATCTCTCTGCCTGTTCTGCTCCCCACTCTGTCTCTAGTGAATCCTCTCACCACCCCTGTACCACTGGCCTGTACCCCAGTTCTGTAGGCAGAAATAAATCTTTAAAAAAAAAAGACATTAGAAAATGTTTGTTATAAAGTACCCATTTCACAGTTTTAAAAAAGGACTTGCCCATTATCTCTATATCTTCCCTCCCAAAGGAATGTAAGAGGAGTAATGGAGCTTGCCCCAATCTTCAATTTAAGAACTGAAAAGCACTCTATATTATATAGAAACTAAAGTGACTAGCCATTACAGTTTTCTCAGATTTTTCAAATTTTAGTACCAATGGTCTCAAACACCTGAAAACAGTCGCTGGCACAGTGGGATGTCTGGCTGTATGTAAGTCATGTGCCTTCCCTGGGAAACTGTGTGACACTCTGTGAATGGAAAACCAGACAGGTCATTAATTACCTACAATTTTTTCAAAAGGCATTCTAGGCCTTCATTTCCATTTTATTCAAGTATTTATTTATTCAAAATTCCCTGTTTTCTTTCCTGTCACTTTAGTTATCTGTACCACTAGCTAAGCTAGAGGTTGGTTTTTTTGTTGCTGTTGTTCATGTTTTCATTTTTATTTTTCCTGAAAGAGCTCGTCTAGAAAAAGGTCCTACTGTGCCTGGTTTCCTTCTGATGGTTTGTTTTCATGCCTCTGTTCACTTCTTATTTGCCTCAGCAGCCACATTACCTTGCCCACCTCTGGCAAAAGAGTGTCCTTCATTTCCTGTGGCAGTGCTTTTAAAACACCTCTTATCTCCTGTGGTCCCCAGTGTCATGCTATCACTGAGGGCATGGTTATTTGCTGCTTATGAGTGCCTATTACCCATACCTTCCTGGGCAGATGAGATGGCTCCTGAATCCATATCTCATGCTGGAGACCTCTCTATTATCAGTAAGGCACTAACTAGACTCAGATCTTTAAAACTATGAAAAATTGGCAAAGTCAGTTTGCATAATTCATTGGGTTGCTTCCCTTGAATTTCATGTATAATTAAATAAGATTTTATCCTTTATACTTACACTTCAACACTCTGGTCTAATCAGCTGTGTTATTTCTAAACAGCAATTGTCACAGATATACAGGCTGTAAAATTCTTTGTTGAAAATAAGCTGCATATGTCAGTATTCATTCAGAAACAAAATTTTGCTCTTCTCTGTGTTTTTAAAACCTAAAGTCAGTTTCAAATCTTCTTCCATCATATTGCTGTCTTTTTAGCAGTACAGAAGCATACTTCCCCAGAAATGATTGAGGCTTCAGCAATAGCTATGTGCTGAAATATACATTTTATCCTTTGGCAAAAAGAAGTACTTTATTAAAATTACTTATATGTTAAATGTCTTTAATTGTATCTACAGTAGTGACAATGTAACATGTGGCACAACCAAGAGATATAAGCCACATTCAAATAGCATTGTGCAGTCAGCACTACTTAGCTGATTTTTTCCTCTCTTGACTTTGCAATCCTGGATGGGAGAGTCAAGAACCTGGATCCAAGTGTCCCTGAAGCCTTCTTTGACTTGGAACTTTATTGAAGCAGGAGAAAGACTTGTTGAGACAATACATTATTGAAACCCCATTACAGAATAAGGCTTATATAATTGAATTATACAGTTAACAAAAATAAAATGATATAAACAGCTGACTTCTACTCACAGTTTAGAATTTGTGAAGTTTTAGCCTGGGGTGGCTGACAGTGATTCTCTCACCACTTACCCTTTTCTTCTTCCTCTTGACTTCTCTGAGTCTATGGTATTCTTTGGAGTGGACTGTTCATGTCCTACTCAAATTAGCATTGTAATGTTTATGTCAAAGCGTAATGGGCAATTCTCAGATTCTTTAATTGTTGAAAGTTTACATTACTGAGGGAAGGTGGCTTTTGATTGTAATAGAAACTATATTGACAATTAGTTTATTAGAAAAGAAGATTTATTGCAAGAATATATGATGCCAGCAATTGTAAGAACTACATGTTTTCCTAATGTTTCATAGACTATATGGGCTCTTCTATTGCATCTCTGCTTCTCTTTGTTTTATTCTCTTTCTTCTACAGATAGAATTCTTTGAATTACTTATAAACTCCCCTCCTCATAAATTCAACTTTCACAAATGTCTCTGGACATTCTAAATGTAGAATGTTAAGCTGCAACTCTGACATTAAGTTAGTGGTTTTATTGTCCAAATTAAATTCCTGGAGTGACATGTTATTATCGAGTTTTTAAAAAAGATTTATTTATTTGTGCATACAAAACTGAGGTACAAACCAGAGGTGCAGGGGTGGTGAGAGAATTCACCAGAGACAGAGTGGAGAGCAGAACAGGCGGATCGAAGAAATACACTGCTGAGGGGAACATTGGGCAAGACAGGAGTGGTATGTTGCACTATGTGGGTCACCCCCCAGGCTGGGGATCAAACTCACACTGAAGCGGCAGCAACCAGCTGCCAGCAACAAGCTTTAATCTGTTGTACCACCAGGGAGGGAGCTATTACGGATTTTTAATGCTTGTATTTGTCAGCAGGTAGTATGCTTCTTGAGTATAAGGATGATGTATGTTCTTTGCCATCGTATACCCACAATTCTTAACACAGAACAGGTACTGAGTAAATAATTTATGAATGAGTAAAATATGCAAAAAATCATCTGAAATCTAATAAATGTTTTGTGGAGGGAAGGTTTCTGCATGAGTTGAACTGGCTGAATCTTCTCAAACACCAGTTATTTTAATTGAAATCATCCCATTCATTTCCTATTTGCTGAACATTTCTAATGCCTCCAAGGACTTTCAAACTGATATGGAAATTTGGATAAAAAAAGTGTGATGAAATGATTCAGTGGTTACATATAGGGAGAGATGATTTCCATAGTGACTTCTGCTTCAAGAAATCTTCATACTTTGGTGCTCTCCCTGGTGGTGCAAAAGGTTAAAGTGCAGTGCTATGAAGCTGTCCACAGCCACTGCAACTTGAATTCAATTCCCTGCCTGGGAGGTGACCTACATGGCATGGCAGACCTGCCCGCTGCTCCCCTCAGAAGTATATTTCACTAGTCCTGTCTGTTCTGCTCCACACTCTGTCTCTGGTTAATCCTTTCATCCCCTGCACCTCTGACTGTACCCAGTTCTTGTATGCATAAATAAATCAATCTTGAGGGGGAAAAAAAAGAGAAATTTCACACTGATGACAATGAATCAGCTGACCCACCACAAACTCAAAGACATCTAGTTGCTTAAGCTTTGATCCAGCCACAGTATCTACTGGGAGGTTCTTATTTTGGTATAAAGAACTCCTAACAGAGCTGTGCAGTGATAAGGATGATTTAAGAGAGAAGGTGATGATCTAGCTGTTGAAAGTTGGATGTGTGCTATACTTATGGAATGACTTTTTTTGTGTTAGCTTCCATGGTTTCCCGACTGTCCCTCCAGAGAAGTGCAGGAATATATCCTGTCTGTGTTCCCATCCACACTGCAATGACAGTGGGCTCACCCATTTCTTTGAGGTGGAAAGAACACTTCCCGATTATTGAGCAGATATTGGACAATGTCCTTCCAGACACATGACTTTTGTTCTTTTTTATCCATTTCTCATAACAATCTGCTGATAGCAGAAATCATTGTACTGTGCTTTTCTAGTATTAACCCTAAATCTCCTTCCTGCATTGTTTCATCATAAGGTATAAACCATTTTCACAAGCATTCTGAGTGTTATTCTTCTATATTTATTACTTTAGAAGATGAAATGTTCATTCCAGTAATGTGGTCGTTGCCCAAAATATTTTTAGAATATTTTGGAATGTTTTAGAACATTTTAATGCCATTGTCTTGCTTCTCTCACATTCTGAAGTCTCATTCAGCTCTATAGCAATACATGTATGTTTTCACCACATTCCACTTATATCATTTTTATATTTAACTTGTCTTTTTCTTTTTAGCAATGAAAGATCCACATACTTAATGCTTCTCCCATTTTCTATGTCAACATTCACATTAACTCATGGATAACTGTGCAAGTCTTCATTTGGCTTAATTTTAGAAGTTGCATGTATAGACTGTCAATTTGTTATTAGCATCTAGATATTTGAAACATTATTAACTGCACTAAGTGGAACTTTAGGTTTCATTGCCTAAAATCTAAAGCATAAGTCAAAGGGATTGTTTTTTTGTCATAACAGGAAATGTTTGATGTTATATTGGATGAAAATCAGCTGGAGGATGCGTGTGAACATCTAGGAGAATACCTTGAGGCATATTGGCGTGCTACCCACACCACCAGCAGCACCCCAATGACCCCGCTGCTTGGAAGAAATTTGGGCTCAACAGCACTTTCACCATACCCCACAGCAATTTCTGGGTTACAGGTATCATTCTTTACTTGTGCTTTTACAGTCTTGCATTTAAGATTCCGTAAGGGACTTGATTAGAATGGGGACTGGGATTCATCTAATCTGAAAAACGAACCATGTGTGGGTATTATATATATTTTTTAAATAAGAAAAACCAAAAATGTTACTTCATCATAATCCATCTTGGTTGAAGTTACCCAGACAGTAACTTTTTCGTTAGAACTTTGCTCCGTGTTAATTTATAATGACTTTTATTTAGATAAACTAATCCCTTCTATACCTAAACTCTTCCAGGAAACTTAACATCTACTCCTTGTATCTATGCATTACTTTTATAGGTCACTTCTTAAGGACTATATGATGTTGACAATGCCCAATATCATGACTAGTTAAAAATAGTATTTTGAGACAGGCAGATCTTTTAACCAATCCTGCCCCACAGCTGCTGTGCTGACCTTTTAGCTTGTTCAGTATAGAACATGAACATGAGCAGAGCTGCTGTGTTTTGAAACAGTGACAGATCCCTGAGTTTTCTTGGGGATGTGCAGAGGCTCATCTTGGTCAAAGGCTATGGCACATGTCCTTTGGGGAAGGTGAGGGTGAGTACCACATTCCCCAAGATGAAATAGTTCTCTCCTTTGCTGTTCTGGTGCTGGGCTCAGAGCTAAATGTGGGGAGTCAAAAGCATTATGATACAAAGTGAATCTTGCCTTTCTAAATCAGTCATTATATGCCACTTATCAAGCAGCTGCTGTAACGTAGCCAAATCCCCAACTGACTGAGGAGCATGTCGTCAATTGAACCCTCTTACATCATGACTAGTTTTGTTTTAATGGGCTATAATGATAGTCATAATTGTAGATCATGTAGAGTTAACTCTGAGATAAATGACACTCTGGAAATGCTATTATAATTGTATTACCCTGCTACAAAATTGCATCTTTGTAAGGAGAAAAATGGCAATATAAATGAATAACTGTTGAGGCTAAAAATGCATATGGGAAATGTGCTATTGTAATATGCAATACATTTATATGAAACAAGAATTTTTTTTTTTTGCCATATTTTACTGTTGGTGTGCAGATCCAGTGTGACATTTCCACTTACTAGTCTGGATAGCTCTGAACTGTACCTGTAGCATGAGAAATGGATGCATGAAGCAATATGCTTCTCTAACATATGTAAAAATGAAATGTTACACTTTGTTTATGAATACCACCCTATTGACTCATCATCTCTAAGACACCCTTCTGGAGTGGTTCTCCCAGTTTCACAGATGAGTTAATGTGGTGCCCTTCATCCTGTGGCCTAGTTCTCCAAATAACCAGAGGTACTTGACTTGTTAGATTCTTGCCTCGGGTTAAAAGTACAGGCTGCAATAGTTGAATGAGTTTCCTTCTGTGTGAAGATGAGTTAATGCAACAGGGTCTGTGGATTCATCAGGATTTTATTTCTTAACAGAAGTGAGCTACCTATGCAAGCAGACATATAGCTATGATACATATTTTCCATGATTTGAAGAAAAATATTGAGTAACATTATCTGAAACATCAAAAAGCATATGAAGATATTAATTTTAGTTAATGGTGTTAGAAGAATTTTGTTTATATTGGAAGATTATTCTTGCAAGATATTTCAGTTGAGAAAGCAAGATTTATTGTTTAACTAATTTCTCAAATAAGTTATTTGGGAATATACTTATTCCCCCAAAGTAAAATAATCTTCATTTTTGCAATAGAAGAGGAATTATTAGGTCTTCCTAAATATATTAAATTCCATACAGCAATTAACTATTTTTTTGTTTGTTTGATGTAAGAGATAAATTTATTTATCTTTTACATCATTCTTCATTTTGTGCATGTTTTCATCTCAGTTGTATTCCCCATGGGCTTCCCACCACCAATTCACCTATGTGCCATCACCACAGTCCCATGCACTCTTCCCACCCCATCCCAGTTTTGATCCTATTACCCTTTCCACCCCCATAAAGTTCCTCTAGTTTATAGTTGTTCATTGTTTTCATTTTTTCTTTATTCCAGTTGCCTTTTTTTTTTTTTCCTGGTCCCTTATGCACCTGCTATAAGTGAAACTATTGGTATTTTTTTTTCTGGCTTATTTCACTAAACTTGATCCCTTCCAATCCCATCCATATTGCTGCAAAAGGCATGACTTTATCTTTTTTGATTGCTGGGTAATTCCATTGTGTATGTGTACCACATTTTTTTAATCCAGTCTTCTATTTTGGGGCACTTGGGTTGCTTCCACTCTTCCCTATTGTATATAGAGCAGTGATAAACATGGGGGTGCAGGTGTCCTTTTGAGTAAATTTTTTTGTGTCCTTTGGGTAGATACCTAGGAGTGGGGTTGTTGGGACAAATGGAAGCTCCATTTTTAGCAGTTTGAGAAACCTCCAAACAGCTTCCCATAGTGCATTCTTAGCAGCAGTGTAAGAGAGTTCCTTTCTCTCCACATGTTCACCAACATTTGTTGCTACTAGTTGTTTTAAAATGTGCCATTCTCACTTGTGTGAAATAGTATCTCATTGTGGTTTTAATTTGCATTTCCCTTATTACAATTGATGTTTAACATTTTTTCATATACCTGTTGGCCATCTGCATTTCCTCTTTGGAGAAGTGTCTTTTTAGTTCTTCTGCCCATTTTTTATTGATAGGATTGTTCACTTTATTTATTTATTTATTTACTTTTTTAAAGATTGATTTATTTATTCGACAGAACTGGGGTATAGGCCAGAGATGCAGAGGGTGAGAGGCTTCACCAGAGACAGAGTGGGGAGCAGAACAGGCAGATCAATGAAGTACACTGCTGAGGGGAGCAGCGGGCGGGTCAAGAGAGGTCTGCCGCGACATGTGGATCTCCTCCGGGGCAGGCGGGGATCGAACTCATGGGGAAGTGGCTTAAGCTTCTTAGTGCTGCGCTTTAACCCGCTGCGCCACCAGGGAGGGCCTGTTCACTTTATTTTTGTTGAGTTTCATCAGCTCTTTGTATATCTTTGTGATCAGTCCTTTATCATTAGTATTATGTACAAAATTTTTCTCCCAGTAAGTGGGTGTCTGTTTGATGAAGTCTCAACTGTTTATCCTTTCCTTCACTATCCTTGCTTTAGGTGATGTATCTTTAGAGATGTTACTGAGGTGTATGTTGTATAATGTTTCTTGTGCATGGTGTGAGATAGTAATCTAGCTTCATTTTTTTTTTTTTTTTGCACATAGTAGTCCAGTTTTCCCAGCACTATTTGTTGAACAAACTTTCTTTGCTCCATTGAATGTTCTTTGCTCCTTTGACAAAGATTAGCTGTCCATAAACCCGTGGATTTATATCTGGGTTTTCGATTTGAATCCACTGGTCTTTATGTCTATTCTTATTCCAGTACCATGCAGTTTTGATTATTATGGCTTTGTAGTATAGCTGAAGCCCAGAAGTGTGATACCTTCATTCTCTTTCATTACAGTCAGGAGAGTTTTGGCTATTTGAGGTTTTTTTGTGGTTAAATATAAATCTCATCAATATTTGTTCTATTTCTTTGAAGAATGTCATTGAGATTTTCATTGGAGTTGTGTTGAATCTATGTATCACTTTTGATAGAATGGCCATTTTAATGATGTTAATTCTTCTGATCCATGAGCAGGGGATGTCTTTCCATTTCTTTGTGTCTTCTTGTATTTCTTTTAACAGTAGCTTATAATTTTCTTTGTATAGGTCTTTTACCTCTTTTGTTAGGTTTATTCCAACGTATTTGATTTTGTTGTTGTTGTTGTTTCAAGTGTAAAGGGGATTTTTTTTTTTTATTATTTCCACTTCTTCTGATTGGTTGTTTGTGTATAGGAAGTCTACTAACTTTTATGTGTTGTTTTTATTCCTGCTCCATTACTAAACTGGTTAATTGTTTGATTAGTTTTTCTATGAAATTATTAGGGTTTTCCATGTAAATTATCATATTGTCTGCAAATATAGTTTACTTCTTTCTCTATTTGGATTCTTTTTATGTCTTTTTCCTGTCTTACTGCTCTGGCTAGTACTTCCAGTATTATGTTGAAGAGCAGTGGTGATAGTGGATATCCTTTTCTAGTTCCTGATTTTAAAGGAAAAGCTTTTAGATTTCTCCATTGAGAATAATATTGGCTGTGGGTTTGTCATATGTGGCTTTTAGCATGTTGAGGTATGTTCCTTCTATTCCAAGGATTTCAAGGGTCTTAAAAAATATGGATGTTGAACTTTGTTGAATGCCTTCTTGGCATCTACTGATATGATTATATGGTTTTTATTTTTCTGTTGGTTGATGTAATGGATTACATTAATTGATTTTCTGATGTTGAACCATCCTTATGACCCTGGAATAAAACCAACTTGTTCATGGTGTATTGTTCTTTTAATGCATTGTTGGATTCTGTTTCAGCAGTTAACTTTTGATCCTATATATATGTATTTTTAAAATTTATTTATTTATGCATATGGAACTGGGTTACAGGCCAGAAGGGCAGGGGCAGGGATAGGATTCACCAGAGACAGAGTGGGGAGCAGAACAGGCCAACTGACTAAGTACACTGCTGAGGGGAGCAGCGGGTAGGTCAGGAAAGATCTGCGGGGCCATGTAGGTCACCTCCGGGGTGGGGATCGAACTCATGCTGAAATGGCTTTAGCTTCTTAGTGCTGTGCTTTAACCCACTGTGCCATCAGGGAGGGGCCTTAATCCTATATTTTTAATAGGCAGCATAATCATGCAACATTATGTAATTAAACTCATAAACTATCTGCACTTTGGCATCTTTGTAGGTTATGGCCCAAATAAATAAGACCAGATATTTTTAAGCAGGCTATTTGTGTATCAAAGTGCTTTGTTGAATGAAATATCTAACATCTTATTGTGTGTATCCTAGCATTGTACATACATTTATCTGTTCTAAATGATTGAACCTGGCTTTATTTAATTAATGAACTGTGGTATTTTTAGAGTCAGCGTGTGAGGCACAGCAACCACTCCACAGAGAACTCTCCAATTGAAAGACGAAGTCTAATGACCTCTGATGAAAATTATCACAACGAAAGGGCTCGGAAGAGTAGGAACCGCTTGTCTTCCAGTTCCCAGCATAGCCGAGATCATTACCCTCTTGTGGAAGAAGATTATCCTGATTCTTACCAGGACACTTACAAACCCCATAGGAACAGAGGATCACCTGGGGGATATAGCCATGACTCCCGACATAGGCTTTGAGTCTGCAGAAACAAGTACAAAAATTCATCTGTTGACAATTGCCATAGCACTGCTAGGATAAACCAATCATCGTAACTTGGCAAGTACAGCACAGTATTTATTGTGCTTATGGGCTGATGTCATATGATGTTAAGTAAGGGGCAAAAAAATGTACATTATGCCCTTCAGTCTAGATGGATATTAGATGCCCAATCATATAGATATTTTTAAGTGCAACATTTACATAACAGTACCTTTTGTTTTCTTCATTAGATTTAGACATGTCAATTTGTAATTTAGGGTACATATCAAGGCACATATAAAAATAATTTCCCATGCTGGAAATTCCAAATGACCAGTTCCAGTTGGAACCAATTTATAAACCAATTCCTGTTGGAATTTGGGTGAATCGACTAGAAAGTCTACTTGAGCATGTTGCAATCAGTTTTAAAAATCTGAAAAAAAATCTAAGTAATAAGAAAATCAAAATGCCAATAGGAGCCAAAACCAGCTATGGTATTTATTTGCTGGAAGCTAAATTTACACTTAAAGTTGGAATGTAAACATTTTAAGATGTATTAATGTTGCCAGAATGGCTTTTCAAACTTACCAAATGTATTGATAGTGCCAAAATGTCTCAAATTAATGCAGAAATTATATAGTTTTCTCAGATTTTAATATCCCCCCCACCCCAGCCAAGTTATTGTGTTCAAACTGTTTTGCTTTTTGTTAAGTCACTACTGTTAACTTGTTTGAAGTTGGCAAAAAACAAACAAACAAACAAAAAAACAACCTCAAAAAGTCTTTAGCAATGAGAAAAAATAGTAAAGAGAAGCCCAATAGCTTCTCTTTAGCAGATGGAACTGGAAAATGGGGTGTTGTTTCCCCTTTAATCAATCTGAGCACAACTACATACATCCAGGAATCTGAAATCAGACAGTAAAAAAAAGACACAGAGCTTCCTGATTTCAAAGCTAAATGTCAGCACAATTGAATACTTTCCATTGTTTCATTCAGTCTTTGTCTTTGAATATCTGAATGTTCTAGCTCTCTGCCAAATCTTTATAGGTTTACTAAGGATTTTCAGTTTACATGGACACATTCAATTTTGATATTGAAGACTGTGTTCATACACAGTGATTAATTGAAAAATGTGTAAACAAATGATGAGCTAAAGTTTGCAATAAAAAATAAACTTGTAGGCTCAGACTACATTTGATCACTAAAATTATAACATTTCTATTATATGATTTATGAAGAATTTGGAGGTTGAGCTGCCTTATTTTTAGTGAAAACTCCTCTTCTCCTATTAAAACTTCCTAGTTTTTCCAGGGGCTATTCTAGTGGAATGGGTGACTTTCTGCATTATAATTATAATACCAAGGATATCTTAGATCCAAAAAGTTATTTAAGTTGACCCCTTTATACAATACACAACTATCTTTAGGAAAAGTTTCTTGTTTCTTAAAGTCCAAAATGTGTGTATTTTCCTAAAGCCCTGAAAAGCTCAGGCATAAAATTTCTTTTCCACTGGTACATGCCATGAAATCTTTGTTGGAAAATTAACAATAATTCAACTTCTGTTATCTTATTTTTCCCACATGCTTTTCAATACTTAAGCTCTCATAGCATGCACCCATTAAACTTCTATTCCTGACCACAAAAATAAGCTCCATATTCTTGACTAGTCATACATATCTTGAACTACACATTCCCTCTCCTTGTGTTCGTTATGTTCATTATGAACTTGTTTAGCTGATAATGAGGATGCCTATAGTTATATAAGCTATCACAAGTATTTGATACAACTGAAAAGTATGGGCTCAGTAAATTCTAAAAGTTAACATGTGATACTGGCTTGTGAGGTTCTTTTGTCATGTAGTAAAACTTATAGAACTTTCAGTTAAGACATTTAAAGAACTGTATCCATTAAGCACTTTAAAAAACATATAACCTGCCATTATTGAATATTTGTTAGAGCACAGAAGACCATTTTCCAGCAAACAAAAATGTTTTTATTACATGTACAGCACATATTTGCATGAGAGAGAAAACATTAGCCAAAACATTTTCTATATGCTTTACCGGTTTCTTGTTTGTGCGTGTTAAAGTATTTAATTCAAAGAGTGCACCAAGGTGTATAAATTTAGACTAGACAGCTGTTCAGCTTTTTTTTTTGTAGTAGCATTAGCAATCTGGTCATTTAACTATTTTAAGATATTTACATTTTATGGCAGGTAGCTGTAACAGCACTTGTGTATATTTCCTAATGGGCAAGATTACTATTTTCTTTCAACTTGGAAAGTTATTTTTAAAGGTCTCTTAGAGCCTTGTTCTAAGTCTTCCATGTCATGCCCATAAAGAAAGAGGTCCATCTGTGCACAAAACCAATCTGTCTTTTACCATCAAATGTCCATACCTGTTTTGCTTTGCATTCTTATTCAAAGTTAACAGTCTTGGAAAGGGTATAATGTATATTTTTTCTTGATGGGTATATTTACAACTTTACTTTGATTTGTCATAGTCTTTCTCCTTTTTAACAAGTTTGGCTTCTCCAAATGGATGAGATATGCATTTTCCTTTTCTTAGGCCTTAGAGTTTATCATGTAAATGATACTAAAATACAGATATATACTAACTGAAAATTTTATTTTTGCCAAGCACATATAGCACCTTTAGAAACTACATGTTCCACAAATACTTTGTTTTTAACTGATTTCATTTAAAAATAGCAAATGATAAGCAGGGAAACAAGTCTTACAATGTTTGAAGCTGTTTTGTGGTATAAACCATGTGTTTTGTCATTTCAGTATATGTAACTCCATAATAGTAAATTACATATCCTGTCATTTCTGTCAGCAAACATGTAACAGTATAGACTCATATGACAATGTGGAAATGTCCTGGAAAAAAAGGAATGCAATTTGTCAATCTTGATGTTAATTCTCAAGGCTATAATGTAACTCCAGTATTATAATCTACAGTGTTATGTTGTTTACTCCAATATTTAAAGCAACATTAGAAATATTTATAAATGAGTGATGATTCTCTTAGCTTTATACAGTTCTACTGGAAAGAAAATTGAAATTAACAATTTAGACTGATAGTCTTTCCTAATAAGAGAGTCTTAATTATGTGATAACATTGCACTTAGTCCTTAATGAAATGAATTTTTTAAATACAAAACATTCTGAGAACATTTGTTCCCTTAAATAATTTGTCAATTGCTTTAATTATTATTGCTGTTGTTTGCAAAATGTATTTTTGGAATGTTAACCTCTTTTCATACCTGCATACTTGAACTTGTCTTTTGTGTGGGGGCCTTAAAAAAATTCATAATAGGAAGCTAGGGCAGTGAAAAGGGGGGAGAGGAAGAAATTATGCCAAAAGATGGTTTGTAATTTTAAACTCTTTGAATGAACATATCATAAAATGTTGTTGAGACCCAGGATGTCAGTGAAGAATGTTTCTAGGCAACCTTGATTTGCATGGTAGTGTATTTTTTAGTTACACATTTTATTTTAATATTTGCTAAAAAATAAAATAATATAATGCCATTATTTAAAGAATTGCCCTATATATTAAATATATATTAATCTGTACTACCTCTTCTCTAGAAGACTATCTGTCTTTAAGGAGAAAAGCGCTTCTCAGTAACTAATGATCAAATTAATTATTATAACTGCTAACCTTGCTGTGAAGTAAAATGCATAAATTGTTAAAATATACCTTCCCTTTAGATTTTAAACTATTTCTAAAGTGTTTTTGTCACTTTTTCATCTTAGAATGAAGCTTTCTTTAAATTGGTTAAGTTTATCAGTATACAAGGCTAATCAGTCATCGTAGGGAAAAAACAAACTACAAGGGAATTGCCTTTGTGTTTAAATTTTTGTAATATTTAGCTCTAAGTCTAAAAGGGAAAAGATCCAGAGACTAGATGTTTAAGTGCAGCTGGTTGCAAATCCAACTTTTGTTGATCCTTCTTGTCTTCTACGGACATTTAGCCACTTACTGGGTAAAGAAATGCATTATCTTGGACTCCCATGTCATTGAAATAAACTTCATATGAAGTTCCAAATAAATGCTAATGTACCCCTTCTTTTATTTTTCTACCTTTGTCTTTCATGACAATGTTGCATGTTTTCTTTTTCTTTTCTTTTTAGTGATAACTAACTCATCTTTGAATGACTATATGAATGAAAACATTATAGGAAATTATGTAATAAAATTTATTTTATTAGTCCTTTAGACCTTTAAATACTGTCACTACTGTAACTGTTACCAAGTTTCTTATTCAGGCTATGTCTATAAGGCGGAGAATAATACCCTTAGAAGTGAAGACATGATCAAATCAGTCAGTAAAATAGTTTTTTTTGTTGTTGTTCTTGACTTAAGCAGTCAAACTAGTCAAAAGAGTAAAATTGATTTGTATGGACAGACAGGCTACAACATTCAAAAACTGCTTTTTAAAGTTTTCTTCTTTTATTTAAAAAATGAACTTTCTCAACTGAAATACATTGTCTTAAGCAACTATCTCTATCTAGTTGTGGATGGTTTAATCCTAGATGCTTCATGTAATTGGGGAACATTATGATGAGGGTAGAATATATTTCCTCAGATAATCTTGACTAAGGGCTGTAACTCCCACTTACTTTGAAAAACATATAAATAAGAATTAATAGCAACCAGTTTTGGAAAGTCATAGCTACATATGAAAACTTCCTTTTGTTTCTTTTGATGTTTGTAAAATGTTTGCAGAAAGATGGTATAAAGTGTTGCTGAAGAATTTAGAGTGGTTTGGGCAATACACTGACCCTCTGAAAATTATAAGGAGTTAAAACGACAACTAAGAACCAAAAGTGGCTGGCCTCTGGCTTTTCAATATTTTATAAGTGTTCTTGGTTATGTTTTGAACACTTAAATTTCTCAACAAATAGCTATGTCTATATTTATGTAGGGGCCACTCTTGCTCTACTCGCATGCCACCTTCACACACTTTTAACTGAAATCAGTGTGAATTCTGTATGCATAAAGAGATGTATTAAAGATGCAGGATCATTAATGCTATATTGTTGCATACTATTTTTCATATGCCTTACAATATTTTCTGGGATGTTATTAAAATGAAAGCATTTTATTGCCAAAATAAATCTATGTTGTTACTTCTAATCTGCATTAGCAGTAGAGAAATAATGTAGCAAAAACATATATTGTACAGTACAAAATTATAAAAGATATATATTTTGCCAATTATATAAAAATAGATTGAGGAGAAAGAAGCACATTTGTTATAGCACAAACTTACAGCAAATTCCACTGTTAAATTTGGCAGTTGTATTTTTTAAAAGTATATAAATTTAGTTCTATCAGATTTATTTCATCTTCCATCTTTTTAACTTGCTGTTTGATACTTTTCCAGCAATTTACTTCATAGCCTTGCAATCTGTGGATGTAATTCCTTTCGTTTTATTCCCTTCCGTACAATAAATTAAATTTTATTTTGTGATAGGACACATACTATATTTACTGTTCATTCTCCTTCAGTAAAATGCAAACAAGTGAGCTCACAAGGCTCCTATGAATTTTGGATATGTTTGAAATATTTCATATTTTTCACAGCCCAGAGTCAGAATGATAAATAAAGAAGTCTCCACAACAACAACAAAAGAACTTAGGATTCTTCCATTTGTTTTGTACTGAATACTATTTTAAAAATTAGCTATTTTTTTGAGGGTGGTGGGAGGGTAAAACAGACAAACTTAGTAATAGTAAAATTAATATGCCAAATAATGTAAAAGATTTTCTCTACTATTCTGAGGGCTGTTGATTTCCCAGGCTATTGCTATATTTCCAGCTACCATGTGGGAAAAATATTTTGTCAAATAATTTTTCCTTTCTTTAAATTTAGTTACCTATTTTGATATTTTACCCTTCCTTTTTGTTTTTCTTATATAGGTAAATGTGTAGCATTCTACAAGGCATGCTGGGTAAAATATACTATGCAAATGTGTACAGTGCTGCATGTTTTGTTCTCCCTCTGCTTAGTGGCTTTAAGGAAAAAAAATGTGTTGTTATTTTTGTGACCCAAAACATTTAACAAAGAAAATACAGAGTGCATGCATATAGTATCCTAATTTCTATGGATTTGTTTTATGGACTTAAAATGTGTACAAATCAACTGCATTAATTTTTTTCTTTTATATAATAAATGAAAAAAAAAACACTGAAACCAGCGTTATATATCTTTCATATTATTCTAGAGATGTACTGAAAAATTACTGGCAATCAATAGATACTTCCCTTCAGCTCTTATAGGAAGAAAGATTCTAAGTGTTTACTCACAAAGCAGACTCAACTAAATAACTATTTCCTGAATACTCTGCTTAGATGCTGTGAGTGATCGCAAAAGATGTACTATATTAGGAAAGAGCTTATAAGTTAAATATATAAACATTTGAAGTAAAATATATGAGTAAATAGGATTGAATACATAAGAGAAAAATGTATTCGATAAACCTTATTTTTTACAGACTACCCCTAAACAATAAATGTAGTGGTTACTAAAAGTTTCCAAAGCTATCCTGTACCTGCAAAAATTCCATGGATGTTATATGGCTTATAATTTGACAAGTCATGTGTTATGTCAGTTGTCTTTACTATGACTTGATTGCATTTGAGTTTTCTCTCAGTACAGGAAGTTCAAAAGAAATGTATAGTGTATTGATTATCTCACTGTATTGGAATGGTAAAATAATTTATTACAGCCACCTTATTTCACATGTATTAACACATTTAATTCATCTGGAAAGTAGCAGGGCATGGATTATTAGTTCCAACTGCAAACAAGGAAAGCAAAATTTATTGTAACTTTCCTCTCTTAACATATTTTTATCTAAGACTATGCATGTGTGTGTACTCAATGCTTTAAAACTAAGTAGCTAACAGAAACATACAAAATAATGCCCGAGTAAATGTTGACTGAATGAATTCTACCTCAGTTATTGAAGAAATACTATATAATGTTGCCCCAACTATCAAAGACATTTCAAGCACAATCCCAAACTCCCGATTGGAAGAAATGAAGCTCAGTTGTCATTCCATCAACCTGGCCATATCTGAAGCCATCTCTGGCCATTAACATATCTTCCACTAAAAAAAAAATTGATTGGAGAGAAACAGCTGACTTCTCTTTGTCACATAATACACAGATGAGCATAGTAGTCAGGCTGAGAGCTCTACCCCTCATCTTGCTTTAAAGACTACATCCGCTAATAATTAGCTATAAGCTTAGGGCAATTACTTAACTTCCTTCTACCAAGATCTAGTTCTGTAGAGTAGTTTTTATTTTGGTTGTAGATCACACTTTTGTTTCTTTTTATATCCAGTATTTTTTTTCCTGTTGGATTCAAGACATTATCCATTGTGGTTGACTTGATCTTATATTCCTTGAAGAAGATTGGACTCCTTTTGACTGGCAATTGTGGATTAGTCTGATCTTTGGAGGTTTTTAATTTGAGTGTTTGAGGTAACATTGGTTTACATTATTATTAATGTTTTAGCTATACACATTTCTTCACACCTTGCCCACCAGCACCAATGTACCACGGTTTGTTTTTTAGGTATTTAAATATGTAGGGCTTATTTTCTGGCGAATTAGCTGCTTATCTAAGGTTTCTGGGATATCTACTGTACTCTGACTAACTGGAACTCAAATGATTCCTGACCCCCTGCAAACGCAGGGAAATTGTTTAACAGCTCCCCAGAACTTATTTTATTCTTCAGAAATTGTGATTGGTCAGCCTGATGGGGTTAAATATTGCACACATACAAACTGATACGCAATTACACAGGTTTCTGGAGTTCTTATCTGTGTAGCTATCTTTTTTCAGTTCTCTACTTCACAAATTTTAAACTCTAGATGAGCTTCCATCTCTCTGTTAGCTGTCTGGAAATTGCCTCCAGACAGAAAAATTCAGGTAATGATAAAACTCATCTTATTTCTCTTACTGAGGATCACTGTTCTGTGTTGTGTATTGTCCAATATTTAAAAACAATTGTCCAGTTTGTCCAGTTTTCAGTTTGTTAATGGAAGCAGGGTAGTTCCAAACCATTCTGCTCTCTTGTACCTGGAAAGAGACTCTCCAAGGACATTTTGCACAGTATGATTAATTATGGTTAAGTTAGTCTTTTACAGTTTCAAACGGAGTTGTTTTCATAAATACCACCCAACAAATACTCCCAGATATTTTATAGTAATTCCAAATTTGTATTTCACTCAATGGATCCTAGAATTGGACAAGATTGTACTGGATATATTCACTTCCTTTGTCTCTTGAGAAACATTTAGAAAATAATCTGGGAAACCATTTCTTTAATATACTTCATAAAACTGAAACCTTAACTTCTTTAATATGGATATGATAACCATTAAGTAAGTTGACAGATATCTGGGAAGTTTGCAAAATGTTTTAGAGCTGCCAAAAGCATTACCCACAAGAGAAATAATAGTTAACATAAATTGGTTATGTAAACATTTTTTTCTAAACAGCCTAAAGTGTTTTATCATGCAAATACAGCCTATACATTAAAATGGATTAATTTTCTTTCCATTTGTATGTCTCCTGTAAATTTTGACTTTTTAACTATAAGCCCCAAAAGAGATCAAAGGACTTTTCCTTGTACAGTTGTTCAGAAAGACATGTTTCAGTCCTCAATACTGCTCTTTGTTCTAAAGATACACGTTTTCTAGCTCAGATAACGAAGGAAAACTATAGACTCTCCAGGCCTTACTCATGTGTACTTTTCTATATTTGAGATAAGATAGGTTTTGACAAAGAGAGGTACAATAAGAGGTACAGTTTATCACTTTTAATTTCATTCCTCTCTTGCCAATGGAAGGGAGGGATTGTTTGAGGGCCCCTGCAGGCAAAGCACTTCAAAACGTTTTTTACATGTCCACTTTTTTCTTTCTCTTTACGAGACTAGACAGGATGGAGCTGTTTCAGGTTTCTTTGAGAAAGAGAAGTAAACAACCTGTTTTCCCCCTACCAGTAGCCTCCAACTAAAGTAGAGATTAATAACCATAGACATCAGATGACCTAGATTCAAAGACCTCAGGAAAAATCCTCTGCTTTTACATGAGAAAAGTGTTTGGAGTTTCCTGCTCAGCTTTACAGGTTACGTGTGTGTACATAAACACTGACTAGATCAAATGCGTGTGTGTACATATACATTGACTACATCAAAGTGGAAAGAGCCCGGAGAGGAGCCCTGAGATACAAAGACCGCCTTAGGGCGACTGCCTAGGTAAGGTATGGGTTGCAGCTGGAGAGGGGTTAGGGGGAGGTAGCAAAAGATTTGAAAAGGTTGTTAAGCTCAGCTCAGAGAACTTTCTGGAATGCTATCTTTGAGGGTCAGGTTGTGGGACTTCGGGGAGTAGCTTGTTTGAAGGGTTGGAACTGGGCATCAATAATATGCTCTGGGGAAGAAATACAGGGAACAATAAAATTTGGCGGGGAGCTAGTGAACAGTCACGACCCATCAGTCCTATCTCACACCCAGCGTCGGTAGGATCCCCCGCTCAGCCCCGCCGCCCACAGGTCGCCCAGTTAAGCAGACAAGCCAGGACCAGACGTGTGCCTTTTTCCAGACCCCACCCTCCGACTTCGCGCCTGCGCTCTCGGATCCCGCCCGCCCCGCCTCGCCCGCCTCGCCCCGCCCATCGCCTCCCCCGCCCGCGTGGTCGCCGCCACCGCGGCCGCCTGTGAGGAGCTGGGGGGGGACGGTGGCCCGCGAGGCTTGTCGCAGACAACGCGGCGGCGATGTACGCGAGGCAGGCGAGTGCCGCGGCGGCAGCGGCGAGGCCTCGCGCGCGGCAGGACGGCCTGGGCTTCGGCCTCCCTCCGGTTCCTAGGAAGCGGACCGGCGGCCAGCAGAGTAGCAGCAGCAACAGCAGAGGCTCCGGCGCTGGTCTTTCCTCCCCTTCAGCCTGAGCCTGGGAGGCCAGGCGGCCCGGGTGGCTGGAGGGGGGTCCGCTGCCTGAGAATGGGAATTCTCTTCACCAGGATATGGAGACTGTTCAATCACCAGGGTGAGGGGCTCCGGCCGAGGGCGTACGGGTGGGGGAGAGGGTCAGACCGGGCTGGGTGGGTTGGGGGTGGGGGGTGTCTCCGAATACTTCCGGAGTGTGGGCGGCGCGGTCGGGCGCCGTCTCGGTGCCAGGTGCTGGCTGCGCCGCTGCGGCCCCGGGCGGTTCAAGTCCCACTCCGGAGCTGGGGAGGGCTGCTTACCCGGCAGGCTTTTGTCTTAGGGGACCTCCCTAAGAAACCCTTTCCCAAATACACCCATTGCTCGGATTTCGAATGGTGGTGAAAATGGATTCTTGCCCTACCTTCGATGTTCAAGAGTGGCTCGGTCAGGCCTCCCTTTGGGCCCCTTTTCCTTCAGCAGTTTGTTTTGGACACCTGGGAGATATGCTGGGATCTTCTGGGATGAAGGTTATGGCTCCAGCCGCACCGCTGAGCGACTGAGGGTTGCAGAATGCGGAACAGATGAGGACTCCTGTCCAATACACTTCAAGTTTATGAGCCTTCGTGCACCTTCACCCTCTTTGGGGGGAGATTGTACCCCGAATTCTGAGGGACCTCTATCCATTTACCATGAATCTGTGTGAGGTTAAGTTAAAACGTCATTTTCCTACTCAGATTGTTTATTGAGAGGTTATTAGCTGAATTCAAATACGTTCGCGTTTTACTAAAAACACTCAATAATCAAACCGTATGAAACATTTGTAAACCCTGGGTAGTTAACAAGTTATTAGATACAAAGTATATAGGAATGTTTAAATTCATTGAAACCCAAGCATTGACGTGAAATGCACATTGGGTTTATTAAAATTTATTACAAAATGAGTGTATAAAACTGTTTAAAGGATACGATGGTATCAGAAAACTCCAGTCATTAAAATAATGTAATCAGTGGTGTAGTTTTTGTTTCATTTCAACTCAAGGTAATCATTCCTGCTGTCAGTAATACAGTTTTTGTTTCTCTCTTGTGTAAGCTGTTGGTGATTGTCACATCCCGAAATTTTCTGATTAAAATGAAGGGTAATGTAATTGTGTACTACCTTTACCCTTTCTTCCTCCTTCAAGATTCTCATAAGATGATGGGAAGTTGCAGAGCTAGAACTTGTGATTTTACTATATTTAAAAAAAGGTAGTGTCGGTCACATGATACTAAGCAGCATTTTCAAGTGATTATTTGATAGGGGAATTTCACAAAGTGGAGAAAATCAGTTACAGTCGGTCTTGTTTCTGGCTAGTTATTTTCTGTTGAAGAGTGGAAACCAGTCATTTCAGTTCTCTGGGACTCAGTTTTTGCATATAGAACAGCAGAGATCTTGAATGACTAGAACCTACAAATCATGAACACTTAATGTCTAAGTCACAATAATTGAGACTTATGTTACTGTAAAACCATTGGTGCTTGTATGATGGATTTTATATGATAGATAAATCTTTAACCTCTATTCTACTTTTAACACTCATAAATTTGTATTATTTTTAGTGAATCCAAAGTTATGCTTTGAAGTTTAAGAATTGCTTGTTAATTGAGTTCTAGTACTACAAGAAAAAATAGGTATTTCCATTTGCTATTTTGAATCTGATAGTTATTTTTGTAACTTAATGATTAGAGGTTTACCAATTGCTTGCCAATAAGTAATGATGTGTGCCTTGTTACCACTAAAAAATCACAAACAGTGGCCATCTCTTTATATTTTGTGGTAATTGTTCGTTTATTTCTGTAATAGGAAATTAATGAAATTAACTTTCTAGAAATATATATGTTGGTATTGTACAAATGTGGATAAACTATTTCTCTTTTAAATGATGTTATAGGTAGAGTCACTTTTTCAAAATACCATTAAATCTAAGTTCAGATGGCTTGTTGGTCTTTTTGGTTTTGTGTTAAAGTTTAGATATGTATTATGTGTTACATATGTCTTGATTATTTTACATTCAGAAGATACAGACTGAATCTGTATTCTTTTCACATATCTCTTCCTGAAACCTCTTTACCTTTTTTTTTTTTTTTTTTTTCTCCTTCAGTTTAAGATTAGAGAGGCTGAATGCACAGCAAAGACTAATTGTGGACTGCTCAAACTTGAAAAACCAGAGGCTACATGTAGGTGATACAGAAATTCAGCAGGATAAAAAGCTTGTTCTAAGTGTTATTGTATATGTAGTGTGTGTGTGTGTATATTTAATATTTGAGGAAATAATGACTGAATACTTCTTCATACATAATTTTTTTAAAGTTCCAATTTTACTTTGAAGTAGGTACTATTTTTCTTTGGAAAGAGAAAACTGAGGTTCCAGGAGAGTGATTTTCTTGGGTCCAGCAATTAGCAAATACCAGAGATGGGCAAGTTAAAACATTGAAGAAATATGTTGCTGATACTGGTCTAAAAGAAAAAAGACTAGTGTCCTGTCATTTTTTCCCTATAATTTCCCCCCCCCCTATTTATTTCTCAGTTGTGAAACTCAAGGTCTTTATTACTTTAGGATCTTGAAGCGTTATCATTAGCATCTTTTAGTGTAAAAGAGCTTATTATCAGTGGATACTTTATTAAGTTTTTTGAGCAGCTATTTTGTGCCTGCATCTATTCTAGAGGTGGCGGAGATCAGGCAGGAAACAAGAGAAACAATTTTCCCTTACTTATGGAGTATTCAGTCTAGTAGGGGCAGAGGGAAAACAAACTAAACTTTATGGAAAAAATAATAGTAGGCAACATTTGGTGACATATGCAAGGTTAGGATCCAGGTGTTTTATGCAGGTTATTAATTTAGTAAATAGCCAGAGTCAGTGCTCTTAAAAACAACATTCTTTGTATGACAAGGATTTATGTTAGATAAAAGGAAGAAAATGCTGAACACTTATGTGAACTATATGAAGGAAGTTGTAAATTTTCACCATGCTAGCTTTGTCGTATTTTTATGATAGGTTCTTATAAAAGGAATGAGTTATGATTATCTGTTATAAATGAATGCTGGAGAAACTGCCTATGTTGCTGGAGGCTGGTTCTGGGAACTTCACTTCTTTTTTTTTTTTATTAAACTTTTTTTTTTTTGAAGATTTATTTATTTATTCGTACAGAACTGGGGTACAGGCCAGAGATGCGGAGGGTAAGAGGATTCACCAGAGACAGAGTAGGGAGTAGAACAGACAGATAGACGAAGTACACTGCTGAAGGGAGCAGTGGGCGGGTCAGGAGAGGCTGAGAGGTCTGCCGCTCCATGTGGATCTCCTCCGGGGCAGGCAGGGATCGAACTCAAGCGGAAGTGGCTGAAGCTTCTTTGTGCTGTGCTTTAACCCGCTGCGCCACCAGGGAGGGCCCTGGGAACTCCACTTCTGCTTCTGTTTTTGTGTTGTATGGGAATTCTAATATGTATGAGAGCATATTTGGAAGCTGAGTCGTCAAAGGAGTAGACTAGGTCAGTGTTAATATTTTTAGCTCCAAATTCAGCTATTTTGCATGTCCTGGGTAGCTTTTAAGTACTCTGCAGCTGGCACAGAATACTTAAGCTTTGTCAGTGCCTTGAAGGGACATTACAAGAGGAAAAGTACAGTATTCTCTCTCAGTGGCCGCTGGCCTGGTCTTGGATTATGAACACCTTCTCTAGTGGCTGATTTTTGTCCCTTACCGTGACTGGTCAGCAGCAACCAGCACCTGATTTAGTTGATTTTTGAATGGAGGCTTTTCAGTGAAATGCATACATACCTTCCAATGAACAGTTTTCTCCAACACCTTATATATAGGAAGATGTCCCAAGTAAGATTAATTGGCAGGTACTCACACAGCTTTTTCTCTGCCATTCAGTGAGCCATGCCCAGACTATATAACAGGGTCTGTATCTTAGACCCAGGGGTTCAGGGGAAACTATCCCAACCCTAGGTAGGTTATTCCTTTCGTTTGTCATTTTGGCTATCTTTCAGATTTGCCAGTTACGCATCACTATAACACCTTATAATAGTAATTTTCTTTAAACTAAACTTTGCAAGTGCAAACTGTTGGGGGTTTCTAAGTTAACTAACCTGCATAAAATGCCTAGACCCTAACCTTGCATAAGTCACTAATGTGTTAAATGGGAGTTCTAACATGTAGAGGGGCATATATGGAAGCTGAATAGCGAGAGGGATGGACTGTGCCAGAATTAATATTTTTTGTTCCAGATTCACTATTTTGCAGGTTATCTTATTGAGTGATTCTCTATTTCATTCTATATAGTGGCTATAAAAAGATATAGTGTCTTGATACTGTTAGCCACATCCTATTTTTAAATAGTCAACTAGTAATGAGAAGATGAAATTCTGGTGTAAGAGCTTCTTCTGCCATCTGTTTCTCAGTTGCATACCTGTGTGTTGTTACACAATGGTTATGTTCACTGAAGTTTTACCTTACTTACCGTGCTCCATTTCTCATCAGGTATTATAAAGAATCCTCCTTTAGTGCTTTTTGCCTAGCTAGGCTTTCCTTACAGAAATGGTAGCAAAGTGTTTCTTTTATTGGAACCAAGAAATCAGTCTTATGAAGCATGGCTTAAATAAGGAGACCACTTTAAAAAACAAAAGCAGATAGGGTTTTCATCATAAAAGATAATGATAGGGGAGGTCAAATAGTTTTTTTGGTCCGTAGCCCTACTGTTACTCAAAATGCCTTTTGGAACTTCTTTTAGAATTTCAGACAAATTTTTAAGTCATTCTTACTGTTTAGGATCACACCTCTTTTAAGAGCCAAAGATGGCACTTATTTTAACTACCTGTAACCCTCTGACTGTGAAGATAACCAGTGACTGTTCTCCTCCATTTCAAATAAAATTCATTTTCAGAAGTTAAAAGTTGTGCTGCCATTGGCATTATTCAAAACAGTCTCTGAAAGTAATGACAAAGAAGAGTAGCAAAATATTTTGAAAAATAATAGCATGGGTAGAATAAATGTTTAACTGCCTCCCATGATTAAGGACCTTTAAGAGAATACTCTTTTGTATTTGTATTATTAACACACAATTAACACACAAATGAACACACATTTTTAAGTCACTGTATCATAGATTCTTACCTTATATTTACATTTTTCTCTTTTGGATTTGCTTCTGTTGATCTAGAACTGTTTTTTAGTGTATCATTTTCTTACTGTTCAGAGTAATTGTATTTTTTTTCTGAGTATTGGCAAGTTTGCCAGTTTAGTCCTGCAGATGATACACAGGGGATTACAGAATGATAGTCCTGAAATTTAAAATAAGTTGACATTTTGAGACATTTTGAGTTGATATTACTAACAAAAAGTTACTATTAAAGTGAGAGGCTAAAATCTTTCATCCACGTTAGAAATCATAGTATGGCATAATAAGAATTCTACTTGTGTTAAAATGTTTATAGAGACTTATCTTAATATAACCAGTTTTATTATGATGAGATATGTTACTAAAGGGGGAAATACTAAATAGGAGACATAAAAATTAGGAAGACAAAATTGCCATTCCATTTAAAAACTTCCCAAGTGGCCCTCCCTGGTGGCACAATGGGCTAAGACACAGCACTGCAAGCTATCTGCAACCACTTCAGTGCGAGTTCCATCCCTGGCCCCAGAGGTGATTCTTCACCCTAGTCTGCCACGTGATGTGGCAAACCTCTCCTGTCTTGCCCGCTGCTGTCCTCAGCAGTGTACTTCATAGATCTTCCTGTTCTGCTCCCTACTCTCTCTGGTGAATCCTCTCACCGCCCCTGCACCTCTGGCTTGTACCCCAGTTCTGTGTGCATAAATAAGTTAATCTTAAAAAAAAACTTTCCAAGTTCCTTGGAACTTGGTTCCAAGGATTCAAGCTGATCTTGATGAAGGTGTGGTCCTATAGGCAGTTGGAGTTAGCAGTCATTAATCTTATTCCTTTTGATGGCATTCCCAAGTAATTGTCTGATTTTAACTCATCTATCCTGTATATTTTTCTTTAAAAGGAAACTGCAATTATTGGGGGAGTTTTGAACATTGGCTTTGTATATTCATTTTGACACTCTTGTTTATGTATTTGTGACTTCTGTCAAGTTTCCTTCTTTGAATCTTGTCTACTCTGGGATAGAGGTTTATAATTCTAGAAAACTGAGAGCCATAAAATTCATTTGGTAATTCACCAAATGAATGTCACCAGAGGTTTTTTGGTAGCCATTCAACTGACATAGCAGCGTGCCCTCTCATGTTATTAATCTTTACTTTCAATAAGTATCAGTTTGTATTTGAGCATTTTTCTTCACCCTAGTCTGTTCTAAGGATGAAATAGACTAGACCTGTCTTTTATGGATTTTAAGACCCTGTTTAGGGAAGTTGTGGCTGTCATTTTTAGGACTCTAGTACTCTTTCTGCAAAGAAATGAATTATTGGGTAAAATGCATTATATTAAAATTCTCTAGTTGATCTTCCTATTTTTGTTAATAGTAAGTACCTTTATAACATTTGGAAATCACCTCTGGTAAATAGCAACTAATTGGAAAATATCTGACATTTGAATGAAAAGTTTTTCTTTTTTTTTTAAAGATCTCCTTACTTGGAGGAATTCTAACTTTCAACATTTGTTATTTATAGAATGAATATTAACTAATTCACCATTTATTGAGTATTTACCTTGTATCAAAAAAAGTTGTAGTTGGGTCCACTCTGGTGGTACAACAGGTTAAAGCTCAGCACTGTGAAGCTATCTGCAGCTGATTCAAGCATGAGTTCAATCCCCAGCCAGGGAGGTGACCCACATGATGTGGCAGACCTCTTCTGTCTTGCCTGCTGCTCCCCTCAGTTGTATCCTTCATCAGTCTGCCAGTTCTGCTCCCCACTCTGGTGAATCCTCTCACCACCCCTGCACCACTGGCTTGTACCCCAGTTCTTGTTTGCATAAATAAATCTTTCTTTAAAAAAAGTTGTAGTCTTTGAGAATATTACTATTAGCATGTGCATCTTTATGTATACATGAAGGATGTTTCTTTATGCTGGGAGAATTAGTGTTCTTATAAATAATTATTTTCCTATAGTAGTGATGTATGGAAAAGCAGAAGAAAATTATTCTTCTTATAAAGCTTAGGAGAGATTTGGGAACAGAGGTTGGTAACTGCCGTTCTTGGTGTTAGGTACTGCCCATGTGCTATCGAGCACCATACAACCCTTAAATATTGGTAATATTGTTCCTAATTTTATTTTTTAAAAATTTTATTTATTTATTTTTGCATAGAAGAACTGGTGTATAAACCAGAGGTGCAGGAATGGGGGAGTAAGAGGATTCATCAGAGATGGTGGGAAGCAGAACAGATAGATCTGTTGAAATACACGACTTAGGGAGCAGCTGATGAGACAGGAGAAGTCCATATATAACATGGGTTAGCTTCCTGGACAAGGATGGAACTCAACAGTTACAGTGGTAAAGCTGCACTCCTAGGCCATCAAGGGAAGGCCTTTGTTCCCAATTTATAATGAGGGAAGTAGGGTTAGAGAAGTAGATTATTTGCTCAAGGTCACATAGGGCATGCATTTTTTCCACACTGCTTCTGTTATCTATTGCTGTATAACAAGCCACTTCTAGATTCTTTTTTTTAATTCAGCAATTTTCATTGCCTCTCATCGTTTTGTGAGTAGACTGAACTCATCCAGGAAGTTCTAGCTTGGGATTCTCACTTGGTTCCAGTTAAATGGTAGCTAGAATCAGTATTTTATGGTTCAGCTTGGCTGTGTATAACATGACTCCTTTATTCGAGTGTAATGTCTCAGTTGGAATGACTGGAAAAACAGAGCAATTGTGTATCTCTCTCAATAAGGTCAGGCCCCATGATTAGCCTGGGTTTCCTCACTCATCTGCATAACGGTCTTGGGATAACAAGTCCTAGCTTTACTTGTTAAACAGTATCTGACTTACCCTGGGGAGTTGATCAAGAGAGCCAGGTGGTCCTGGCAAAACTTGCCTTGGAAATCACACAGTGTCACTTCTTCATTTTGCTGGTTAAAAGTTGATTTAGAGGGCATTAAAGAAATAGGAAGAAAACTTAGAGAAATTTAGATCTTAGAAGCCAACGTTGGAGAGATCACTGCCCCCTTCAGTTTAGTTTTTATCTTAGAATGGTTTAATTGTAGACATACAACAGCACATGTGGTGGGACCTGATCTTATAGCCACATTTAAATTAAAGTTAATGTTTGTTTTTCTTTCCTGTTCACTCCATCTCATATATACATATCCAGTCAACACCTAAAATTCCATAGTTAGAGCTTAATGTCTAACTATGGAATAGTATTGTGCAATATTTACGCCTTAAAATATTTATAAATTGTGATTATATTTGGGTTACTTTAATGAGTAACTTTCTACCAAGAAGAATATAGTGCTTCTGGTTTTCTGGGGGGTGAGAGCAAGTAGGAGTTAAGACTAATGGCACGCTTCTGTTTTGCTAGGGTGTTCTTTTAAGTTTCTAGGCAGAATAAAGTGCAATGCACTGATTATATCCTAAGTAGAAAGAATAGATAAAATAGGAAAATAAATTTTTTATGGCTTTTAACTAATAAATCACTGGTATTTTTATTTCAGAGCACAAAGTTATCATTGTTGGGCTGGATAATGCAGGAAAAACTACCATTCTTTACCAATTGTAAGTATTTTCTACTTGGAAAAGATTCTTGCTTACTCTTTTCAGCCTGGGTAATATTTCATTTTAGCAATTAAAAAATTATGTGGAACCTAAATTATTCTGTAAGAAAATAGATTGGCTATACACCAACTGTTCTAGAAAACTGGAAACTGACAATGACATTGAATATGTTGTTCATTGTTTTGCTGTCAGAAAGAGAAATATTTATATAGTTGCTTAAAATGAATCTAGAATATTCCAAATAGTTGACTACCTATTTCCAACCTCTGTTTAACACCTTGTTGTGTGCTAGTAGGAAAGGGCTATTTGCCATTTGCGTATAAAACACAAAAGAGGGTCATGCTGATTTATCCCTTGATTAAACAACATTTAAACAATCCAGTTTCCTTGCTAATTGTCATGTATTTGATTTTTTTTTTCCAGTTCTATGAATGAAGTTGTACATACATCCCCTACAATTGGAAGTAATGTAGAAGAGATTGTGATTAATAATACACGTTTTCTAATGTGGGATATTGGTGGCCAAGAATCTCTTCGTTCTTCCTGGAACACTTACTATACAAACACAGAGGTAATATTTCTTAATATCCTAAAACTTCTTTGAACAGAGTACTTGGAAACTACCTTCTACATGTGAATTTTATAGTTCATCTTTTTTCTGTGATGTAAGTAGAGTTTAATAATGTAAGTAGAGTTTAAACAGTGGAATCTCTGACTCCCAGTTCTAGGTCATTGTTCTCTCTATCCACTCTCACTCAAACTTTGTAAGAATTGGTGACTGACCAGTCTGTGTATTGATCCCAAAACTTGGCTTAAATAGCTTTATAGTAAATTCTACCTCTCAATTTGTATTTTCATTTCTTTTTTACTGTTTATTTTTGTCTTAGTGGAGAAATTCCTAGTTAAATGAGAGGGCTCTCTGGTGGTTTGAATCCCAGCCAAAGTTTTACTATGTATTTTCTTTTGTAACGCAATAGCACCTTAAAGAACCTTTTTTTTCTTTTGACTTATAGCAATTGACACAGTATATTTTTTATTTACAGGTAACTTCTCAGGAAAAATATGTCAGTTCTGTGACACTTGAGCACTTTATTGACTAGACCTTGTAAATGAAAGGCTGTCGAATTTGTATTTTGTTGTTGATTTTAATACAGTAAAACTTCAAATAGATGTTAAGATGATTTTTTAGTTACAAAGACACTATTAATGCGTCTAATGACCTGATCTCCTATCACTCCATTAAGCATTTGATCATATTTTCTGGAGATGAAAAGATTAGTACTCTTATGTTTATAATGTTGTGGATAGCAAGATCATGTCCATACCAAGCTCTATTAAAATGCCTTGGACGTAAATGGACACTAACATTAATAGAGCCACATATTATCAACAAGTGATCAAGTGAGAGAAGAAGAATAGTAGTACCCTCTTGTTTGTCTGCTTTATGGTTGATGAAATCTGCAGACTAGAAGAGACCCTGAAAATTTCAGTGGTTTATTTGGAAATAAAAACCTGGTTCTGAAACAATAGTTTCTGTTAATAACAGGCCGTCAGAATTAACAATGTCATCAGAAGTGACTGTATGTACTCCTGTTTCCCTATTGCTTTGCGGTGCTTCTGGTATTGAGGAGAAGTTGTAGTGTGATTCAGTCCTGCACAGCTCCTTTCTAGTTTGTTCTTTGCATCACCAGATAGTGGTTTCTATCAATAGATGTCTCTGGTATTTTAATACGATTCTAAATTTTTGTTATTTATGATCTGTAAATCAAGTAAACACTTTATATTTTACAAATATCAATTATGTAATCATTAATGATTTTTTTTTAATTATTTTAGTTTGTAATTGTAGTTGTGGACAGTACAGACAGAGAAAGGATCTCTGTAACTAGAGAAGAACTCTATAAAATGTTAGCCCATGAGGTAAGTAGATATTTTATGTGTGTGGAGTGGTATTTATATTACATTAGTTCTTTCTACTTTTCTTATAAGGCTATTATTTTACATTAAAAAAAATTTCTGCTTACCCTTCTTGCTTTATATTGTGACACTTCCCAAACTGAAATTGTATCTGGAAGCAACAGAAAGACTATGGTATCCATTGTAGAATTTTATTTATCCTAAATAAATTTATCCTATATATTTTCCTGAGCAAGAAATCTTAAATGTGGCTTGTATTTGCACTTTGAATAGATTAATCATATAGAAGAACTTCTAAAATTTTATATGCAATAGTAATCTTCTGTATGGTTTTAAATTGTGATGACCTTGGTTTATTTAGGTTTTTTTATTTCAGTAAAATTTAATAAAACAAGAATTGGGATATCTTTGTAATGAGTTTTGTATTAATTTTAATTCTGTTTTGATAATTTGGTTTTGAGTCTTGTGTTAAGAATTTTGGTATGTTTTCAACAGTGGCTCAGGGTTTAAAGAGACCTAGTAAATTGGTTATAAAAATTGAAAGTTCTAATTTCCTTGTGGTCACACCCACTAAGGTGTACCTTCCCTTGTTTTGTTCTCTCTTTTATTTTGGTAGCTGCATTAAATTCCCTAGGGTTAAAAAACAACATGTCTTGCTGTTGTGCATACATTTAACATGTTCTGGTTTTAATTTAGGAAACATACAGTAAGCTACAAAAGATTCAGAAGACTAAAAAGATGCAGTGTTCTTCATTTTTGCACCAAAGGAGTGTTTTACTGTTGTTTTATAAAGACTTTGGAAAAAAAAAAAAAAGACATAGATGTATTTGTCTTTTGGCTATATTTTTTACTCTGTTGACAGATCACTTCCTTGTATCAGAATCCCCAATAATAGGGTTCAAAACATTAATTTTACTAGTTCAGGGAGTAAGTTGGGCAGCTTAACATTGTTTGTTATGGTGAGCATACACTCAGGCCCAGAAAGTTTAAGTAACTTACTTAACTCTTTAAGAACCAGTTGCCACGTTAGGCTTTTTCATCATTCAGACACTTTTTCTAGGAAAAAAGCAAAAATAGACACTAGTTGCAAAGTGATAGGTACTTACTAAGGTTACCAGAAAAGAAAATAGTTATACATGAACTTGAGAACTGGAGTAAATCATTTAATAGATTCACAAAGAGCCAAATAGACTTCTGGAGAAGGACAATGGATCAAAGAAAGAGAATATATAAATAAAAAGCAAATTTTGTTATGGGGCTAGTCAGATGTTTCATACGTACCGTAATAACCAACAAAATCATATTCATGATGATGCTTTACATGTTTACTAAATACCAACCTATAAAACGTTTTAAAATATTTATCAAAGATTCATCTTAAGTGATTTGGAAATTTTGAGTTTTGAAATGATTTTGTTTCTAGAATTGATCTTCACAAATGAAACAAATACCAGATGTTTGTTCTGTGAATGTACAATCATTCAAATGCAATCCTGACTTACAGAAAGATTTCAGCACACACCAGCAGAGCATACTGAAACCTGAAGAATAGAAATTAAATCCCATAGAATGTCCATCTACTAAAGAATTCAACCACATACCAACTATTGAGAGTTGTTCGTTATTCAGTTTAGGGTAATAGAAAAATTGATACTTAATAATGAATATATCTATACAAGTTATTTTCTGCCCTTCAAATTTTTGCTTCTTATATAGATAGTTGAACTGAACTATAGGTGAAAAAGAGTGAGCATGCAATCTTATTAAAGTTAAAATTTAATTTTCTAGAGTATCTATTTTTGATAATTCAGGTATTTGTCTTTAATTGTGGTAATCTGGCTGTCATCCTGTAGAGGGCACTGTCATTGAAAGTCATCTGGTGTTAAAAACATGGGGCAATGTCATTTTGTGTCTGTTGAAGATATTTTTTCTTCAAATACCATACACACTTTTTTGAAACCAAAATAATGTATTAAAATCCTTTAAAAGAAATATGGAATTTGACATAGGTGAGAAAACTTGCAAGTTTGGCTTCAAAATCGTAGTTTTCTCAGCATCTCTATATGTGTGTAGAATTTCATGAAAGTTTAATGCTCCTTGATTTTTTGCCCAAGATCTAAGAATGGACTTTAGATCTCAGAATCAGTTAACACTTAAAATTGTACATAAACTTATTTTTCCTGTAGACATGTGCATTTTTATGAGCAGTCCATAACTTTTAATACATTATCAAGGACATTACTGTCTTTATAAAAAGTTGGGAAAGAGGATGTGGATTTGATTTGTGAGTAAAACAGTGATTCTGGGGAACACAGAGGGTAAAGACAGTCATTTTTAGGGCAGTCACCAAAAAAATTGGTGGAGGACTACATGTAGTAATTCATTCATCCATACTACATCTCTGGGATCTAGTGGTAGTCTCATCATTTAACAGATAGGAACCTAGAGATATAGTGGGAAAATGTCAATGCAAACCTGGCTCTCCTGTTGAGTGGATTTATGAACTTTTATGAGTTACTTACACCTGAGTCTTCGTTTCCTCATTTGTAAAATGGAAAAAGTAAACCTACTTTGTAAGAATTGTCTGAGAATGAAAGACATTTGATTTAGAAAATGATGGATATGTTGTCTTCCTCAGATCAGTTCCTCAAAAATTGTAGTTATGAGGTACAGATTTAGCATGGTTAATGAATTTACCTCAAAGTCAAAGCCTAGAAGGGGTGGAACTTATTTAATCTAATTGGGAAATTTGATGTTTAATACAAATCCAAGGTAACACTATTAAATATTCAAATCTTTGAAATCTTACATAGACAAAGATAGGAGAGCTAGATCTCAGAAGATGAATAAAGCTGATTTGGATATCACTTCTTTTTTTTTTTTTAAAGATTTATTTATTCGTACAGAACTGGGGTACAGGTCAGAGATGCAGAGGGTGAGAGGATTCACCAGAGACAGAGTGGGATACAGAACAGGCAGATCGACGAAGTACACTGCTGAGGGGAGCAGCGGGCGGGTCAGGAGTGGTCTGCCACGCTATGTGGATCTCCTCTGGGGCAGGCGGGGATCGAACTCATGCTGAAGTGGTTTAAGCTTCTTTGTGCTGTACTTTAATCCGCTGCACCACCAGGGAGGGCCCTGGATATCACTTCTTACCTGAGAATTAAAGTCAAAGGTAAGGCCTCCCTTGTGGCACAAGTCTCAGCACCATTAAGGTTTTTGGCAACATTGCAGCCTGTTCAGTCTCTGGCCAGGGAGCTGACCCACATGGTACAGTAGACCTCTCCTGTCTTGCCCATTGCTCCCCTCAGCAGTGTATTTCAGTCCTCCTGTTCTATTAGCCACTCTGTGTCTGGTGAATCCTCTTCCTCCTCCCCGTACCTCTAACCTGATGTACCCCAGTTCTTATATGCATAAACAAATAAATCTTTGAACTCTAAGGCTCACACTGTACATAATAATACATTTATTTCCTATGTATCTAGAAAATAATAGCTGTAGGTATAGGTATCTATACCTAAACTATAGGTAGGAATAGAATTTTGAAAGTGCCATGTCAAAGGGTAGTTTTTAGTAGCCATAGAAACCTAGTTTCAGTTCAAGGAGTAGGTAAGTATATATTATGTTTAAAGACATGTCTATTAAAATAGAATTTTTAAGGCCATAATATATAGAGATATATGTCATACAAGTAGTGAATTCTTTTTTTAAATGCAGTTTTCAATTTATCTTCTGTCAGCATAAGAGCTGTGAGGTTCTGTGTGTCAGGTATTTGATAAATTATAGGTAACAAAGATCATCAAAATAATAGAGTTGAAAAATCAGGAAAAAAAAAATGGCACTGACTCTTACCAGATCTGTTTGCTTTTTTAGGACCTACGGAAAGCTGGATTGCTGATTTTTGCCAATAAACAAGATGTTAAAGAATGCATGACTGTAGCAGAAATTTCCCAGTTTTTAAAACTAACATCTATTAAAGATCACCAGTGGCATATACAGGCATGCTGTGCTCTTACTGGCGAGGGGTAAGATGTTTTTCTGATGTGTATTTGTATATACATGCATTTTGCTTAGAAACATGTTCTTAAAATTACCTTTGAGAAAATGTTTATAAGGGAGAAATGTAGGACTTCATGTTTACAGTGAGGACACTTTTAAGTTGTTTATGTAAAGAGTAACATGCAGCGTCCACATTGTATATATAAAATACTGACCTAGTATACAGGCAGATAGATGACAGAGTTTCTATAGGGATTCAGAGGATTGGGAGTGTGGTGAAGAACTAGAGTCAGGAAATAGCTCTTTCAATGGTGATGCAACCATCTAAGAAAGGAACTTGAATTTTCTAAGCATGGCTTGTGTCTTGAGTACTCTGGGCAGTATCATTTATTCTTCATAGCAATCTTACAGGCCAGTTGTTTTAAATTGATATTTTATTATAAAGAGCTGATGTGGAAGAGGATTCATGTGAGGTTAGTTTGGAAATAACTCACCTTTGTCACCAATGTTGTCAAGAGGGAGTTGTAATGAAAAAATAAAAAGATTTGGAGAATGTAGTGTGATGGTCCTGGGTCTGGAAAGAAGGGTAGGTGTCCCCCATAGAATTTTGCTGTAGTCTAGTGATAGAGATGTGATAGAGATGAAAGATTTCAATATGGAAGTGGTGGTCAGCATTGTCAAATGTAAGATCAAAAACCAGAGGAATGGAGAAGATGCTATTGAACTTAATCATAAATGAATAGATTCAATCAGTTTAGAAGCAAATCATATGTAATGGGAAAGTAGGTTGAATGAAAATGCAGTTTAAAGAGGAAGAGGATGTTAGGAAACAAAAGTACAGAGCAAGAGTATCTAATGAGAGATACAATAGAGTCGAAAAGCCAAAAGGTGAGGCAAACTAAAGTGGTTTTTATTATTTTTCCAAAATATGGGGGAGGTACCTTTATTTATACAATGAAGAGAGAATTAAATTGAAATTAGAGGATTCTAAATAGAAATCTTTATTTTGGTGAATTATTTCACCTGTTAGAAAATGACAGAAGCTTAAAACATAGATAAAGTAATCTGAAGTGAGAGAAATTATCTTCCATTCAACACCAAGATGAAGGACTAATTTATCTAATGAGTTATTGGAGCCAGATCTTATTCAGTGAGGTAGGATACTGATCTGATCATGGATATTTTGAAGAGCTTAATTAGCCTCAAAGAAAGCAGATTGTTCATTTAAAAAAAAAAAGAGGAAAGAACACCAATTGTCTTATATTCTCTAAGCAAAAATATCCATTCTGTGTTTCTTTGCCACATAGTTTAACACATGTTCAGATAATATGTCTTAGTAGATATCAATATGTGTCTTTATATTATTTTTGTCAGAGGCCTCTAAATAAAAGTATTGATAATACTAAATTTGACAATGAAGACAAATCGGCTACAGCTGATACAAGATTTAACTTGCAGACTTGGAATCATTGTATAGGAAATAGGACAGAACTGAACTATGGCGGTTTTATTTTAAAAATGGAAATCAACAGATGATGTTAATCTTTTCAATTTTTGGTTCATTTGCAGCAGTTGAAAAGGAGAAATGTTTGATTTTAGTTGAAATATTTACCTTCTGTTGTTTGGTACCTGGGTCTGAATTCTGACTTTTCGAATTGGTTAGTATTTTGATGCCCACCTCAGCTATTTGGTAGCTCTCAAAACTCAGGTTCCTTCAGTAATATGGAAAGGATACTAGTTTTGGTGTTGTCAAGATTTAATATAGCAGATACTGAGTTCTTAACAATGTTTCTAGTTTGCTATTAGATATCTGCTATTTAACAATTTGGAATTAAATGATATTAACAATATATTGGAATTAAATCTTATTTTGTACTATTCACTATCAGCTTTAAATTGAGATATATGCTTACACCAAAATCTGAATTCCTATTTTTAAAAAGTTAATACTTAGCATAATTTCTTGTGTCTATAAAAAGTCATAGACAGTGATTCATAACAACCCTTCATTTTCCTATTTACTAAATATTTGGTTTCTTTTATTCCAATGAACATCTCTTTCTTTTAGATTTTACAATTACTAAGTGTTTAACAATAACTGATGTTAATGATAAGAGATTTTATTTCTTTCAAATTTGTTTTATAATAGTGGCTGTAAAGTATATATTATGTATATTTTGTTTTAACAACGCTACTATATAGTTTATATTACACCATTTTTCATTTTTATCTTGAGCATTTTATCACAATAAAATAGTCCTAGAAATGGAATTTTTAATATTTCACACAAATGTTCCATAATTTGTTAAATTTTCCTTGTAGACATAGAATATAACATGACTATACTATGTGAGAATATGGCTTCACATTAGCATCAATATTGAATATTATTGATTTTAAAATATTTATTGTTCATGCAAATGAAGCATAGCTCCTTTTAGTTTGTTCATGGCTTTTTAGTTGAGAATTTAATCAAATGATTTCATTTTCTTTAGATTATGTCAAGGACTTGAATGGATGATGTCACGACTTAAGATTAGATGATCTCTGCTGACCTCTTCTGTCATAGACTTTGTTAAAACAAAGTGCTGGACTTTACCTGAAAGCTGCAAAAATTAATGGTTTAGATATATTTATAATAAACTGATTTAAACTTTTTCTATAAGAAGAAAAATTAGGACCACATATTTGAAAACAAAGATGAAGTCTCATCTTCCAATCTGCTTTCTCATAAGTTCCTTCCAAAGCAAGGTCTTAAAGCTGTGATTGACATTTTTCTCATAATGAATCCTCTCAGGACATTGTATAGCCTGTGGTAAGTATAAAGGGAGAGGAAGACATTTTTAACTTTAAGAGCTTTATTATCAGTATAACCCTCCCTAGTTGAATGTTGTTCTCTTCTTGTTCTATTAAGTCAAAATACAAATCAGCACAGATACTGAGTTTCCAATATTATAAAATGTAATGTTACTTACGAAAAGTATTTTGCATAAAGTTGTGTATGTATTGTGTATATACCTCAAGTTTGTTAATGGCTTTGATTTATGTTCTAAAGAAAGGTGAATAACACAAAAAATTAATAATATCCTTAGTTATAACCATAACAAGATGGATACTGGCATTGGTGTTAAGTGCCATTTTGTACTTTGCCCCTGTGTTCTCTGTATTGTACTAATCAAGCCCGAAAATCATTGAGCTGCTCTTTAAAAAGAAAAAGGAAAAACTTGACATTGTGTACTTAAATTTTTTGTTCATTAAATCACATACATGGAAACATTATCCAACTAAGTGACTATCTATAAAATACTTGACTTAGTATTACTAATGAGCAGAATTGCACATTGAGCAGTTACCAGATTGTTTCCTATATATTGGACCTTGTGCCACCTGAATTACTGAATAAATTATTAATCCATTAGTTGGTCAATCATTAATTGTGATTAAAATTAAGTGATTTTTTTTTCAGCTTTCAGAGTTTTTTCATGAGACATGTCTATCTAGAGAAGTAGGTAATCTTATTGATATGAAATAATTTACCTAGCCTAATTTTTAGGCATTGTATGTAAAGTATTTAAAGTGAATTTGAAAAAAAAAAAACAACTTATTTTTAAGCAACAAATACCATCTTAATTTGAAAGTATCATATCATAGAAATTAGAATAATTTGAGATTTTGTTTCTGTTAGTTTTCATTTATTTTCTTATACCAAATGATACATTGTTTGAGAATATACTGTAGGAATTTGCTTTAAAAATTGTTCAACCTTATGTATTTTTTTACAGAAGAGTAAATTCGCCCAAAAGATCCTTGTTTTTCTTATTAGCTCAGGGTATGTTTTTTTAATATTCTGGAAGTTAAAGGTATTTCGGTTTCTGTTACAAACAAATTTATCCTGACTATATTAAAACATACTCTTTAGTACTCTGTATATCTTTTATCCCCTGATAATCTGAAAGCTAATCCTGACTGTTGTGTAGTAAAATATTCAGGGAAAAAATACTTTTAAATGGCCTTTTAGATTTCATGAAGAATTTGATGGAGAACAATTGTACATATAATAAAGCCCGAGAAACTTTAAAAGTTCCTGACTATAAAATATAACCTATTCAGTATCCAAATCCAAATCAGACATGGGAGATCAGTGTTTAACATTGGATGTAGTTCCTTCCTATAAAATATAAAATACTCAGTATTTAAATTGAAGTCAGGCAAAAATGATCAGTATTTGACATTGGGAATTTTATGTTTATATTATGTTCAGAATACAAGTATACTATTTTAGTATTTGTCAACATGCTTTTACAAAAGTAAATCCTACGTTACTGAGCTTTAATTCTCATAATTTTTCAAATCACTATGAAGAATTAATATATTAACTCCTTTAAAAACTCAAATTAGTTTTGTAGATTGCATTTCATTAGGGACAAATAATCTGTAAAGTAAAAATGCATACCTTTTATTCTTTTTATCTTTAATTTGATGGTTTTATTCTTTGTATCACCACTACATAAGTTCAACAGTATACCAGCACATCCCTTTGCTATTAAGGAGATGGGTAAAATTTTTTCTCAATTGGATCATTAAAGCATGAACTACATTTTTATATTTGGTTTAATGTAGATTACTGACATGGCCTTATAAGAATGCATGAAATACTATATCATATTTAAAAAAACACAGCTTTTGGTTATATTCTACCTTTCTAATGTAAGCATGAAAAATAAGGTGGTACTTACTTACTTGCTCATAGAACCAATTCATAATGGAGAAAAATAAATTTGTGTATGAGAATATGTCAAATTATTCAAACAGTATTACTTCAAATAAGATGAGAACCTCCTCAATAGTTGTCTGGTAATTTATATGTAGCTTAAAGTTGAATTAAGGAAAGGGCAATGTTTTTGTTTTTTAGTATGCTACTTTGAGTATAAATAGACATCTTATTTAGGGTCATTGTGCTCAGCTTTGAAAAGAACAAAGCTTCATACCTCTGTATATGTGAGTGGATTTAAATATCCTCTGTTTGATACTAATTTTGAAAGTTGTATATTCTTTTGATATCTTGGTAAAAGTTACCATACATTATAAGAATTTAAGTACATTTTGTTACAATATCATTTTAAACTGTCTTACAAATTATATTGAATATTCTTATTTGAAATTTTTAGTTCTGTTTTCTTTGGCTCTCATTGTGGTAAAGAATACAGTGAAGGCAGGTGGTTTGGGAGCACAGGAAAATAGTGAAGAATAGGACTTTTTGCCTTAAGAATAAAAAGTGCTTAGCACTGCTGGCTGACATTATTAATGCAAGTAGTTGAAGCAATTTTGGAAGTGTGGCATGATGAGAGTTTCTGTTTTCCAGCCTGGAAGAAGTGCCTAATAGGTGTTATGGTGAGATCAGAGAAGTGCAGGGGCTTGAGGAAAGACAGGCTATCCCAGAGATATTATTTTCTTTTTTGTCTATGAGTATAGTATTAAGATGCCTAGAAATGGGAATATATTGTCCCCTCTCTTGTAGGTACTTCACATTTCTTGCTGTGACTACAGTAACCATATATAGTACAGACAACCTACAAATCTGTTTATATTAGTATAAATAGAAAAATTGTAGACAACTTTCCAATTTTCTCTGCAGGCATTGAAGAACTTACCTTTAACATGTTCCAATTGATACATAAGGGATAGCAGCACATCCCAGATTACCTGTGGGCTTTTGGGTCATTTTCACAATTGCCCTGTTACATATTGTCATCAGTCACTTTCAGGCTGAATAGAGACATGACTTAATTTTGACTCATCCCAATTTCTAAAACAATCTGGAAAATACTGTTTCAGGATTGGCTTTCCCATAGCTCAGCCATCTCCTGTTCTGTCATACCTTCCTTCGCCATCATTGGCAATGTTATCTTTCCCTCCTGGGGACTTGGAGACTTTGCCTATATCCTTTGTTCCCCATTAGTTTCTAAATATGGTCTCTAGTTTTTCGTTATCTTCCCTTGACTAGTTTGATTCTTTTGAGAAAGTTGTTGAGTCTATCAAAAGACTGGCTGACTGTGTATATAGCATAAAAGCATAAAATACCAGTTTTAGAATCCTCTAAACTATACTGCATTTAACATTTTAGTGCTTCTTAACTTTGGCTTCATGTACTAAAATGTCGAGTCAAGATTCAGAAAGATAAGAGAAATGCTTAGACTCTGACAGCTGCTTGAAGCATGGAAGAAATGAAGTTGTGTATGTACCACCAAAAATGGGTTGTGTTTGGAGACTACCACAATAGAAATTGGCAAAAGATGTCAGACCAAATTTATATGTAGTGTTAAACGTGTTATATCTTTATAATATTAATACCATAGTCCACTTTCTTTCTTCGTGTTTACTTAAAGAATGAAAGTAAATTGTAGATGTCTGCAGGAGTTAGTAATAAAAAAGAATTAATAATGAGAAGTTTAATGAAATATTTAAAAAAAAAAAGCCATGTTGACTTGGGCTTTAACAGACATCAAAATAATCTTGTTGACTGGCTCAATGGAAATGTAAAAAACTGAAATTCTACTTTTTCAAAAATAAGTTTTCTATATCATTCTCCTCAGAAATATGTGTGGAAATTTTAAGACCATAGTGGCAAATAAAGTAAAGGAAAGAAAGCCAGAAATAAAAATCTGGATCCTAAAAAAGTGACTGCTTCTGTTACAGCTGCAAATTGTGTATTTAATTATGTAGACAATGCAACAGGATATAGTTATGTTAATTATGCAATAGTTTTTATTGATTGTTTAGCCTCGGTGTATTGTTCTAAAAATTGAAGTTTAAGTTCTTACAATCTGGCCTGCTAGTCCATTTTTTGGTAGAAAATTCTGATAATCTATACTCAAGAAGTGCCTGAAATTGTTTTTTATTGATTCTTAAGTTCGCCTAATAAATTGTTTGTCTTCTGTGTTATATATGTGCTTGGCTTACTGATGACACAGCTCTGAATCACAATTTGTGCATTATTTGAGTAAAAAGCCTTGCAATTGAAATACCATACCCCATACCCTCATATGCTGGGTAAAAGGAAGTATGAATGAAATGTTTTCTTTTTTTCTAATACAAGTATCCCTTGACATCAGTTAGTGCAGACACTAGAAAACTAAACTATATTTTAACATGCAAATTTTTAGTGTGTTTCAAAACCTTAGTAAGTTTGTTATATAAGAGTAGTCTCTTAGTTCTCATGCCTTCCAGTTAATAACTTTGAATTATATCATTTAGATCTTGAGCCATTTTGTGTGTGCACATGCCAAAATTCTTCATCTTTGTTTAAATTCTATTTATAAGCCAAAATAGAACTCTTCTATTTCTTATATAATCGTTTTATTTTATATTCCTTTTAATTTTAGCGATAGGGTATGATTGTAATCTGGGACAAAATCTTGCGATATTTTTAGTGATTTATAATTAATTATGATCATTTTTTATATCATCTTGCCTGGAAAGTAAACCATATATATGGTTTTTAAGTTAATGTAGTTTATGGCCCTCCCTAGTGGTGCAGCGGGTTGAAGAGCAGCACTAAATTAATGTAGTTTATATTATTCTCTTTCCCCATACTTATTCATTAGTGATTTATAGAATTCTTTAAATTAGTTTTGCTTGAAACTAGTCCTTGGACTAGTTAGTATTGGACTCACATTTACTTAGATATCCTTCTATGGTTTCTTGGAAACACTTAAAAAGGTATTTTCTGGGATGATGTCTAAGGTACTGTTTTGAGGAGAAAGTGATAAATATGTCCAACGAGTGCTTTTTTGATTGCTACAGATGATAAAAATGTATAGTTCCATTTTTTATTTAAAATACATTTTACTAATTGTGTTGATTTTAAATATAATTTATTTGTGTAGATAATAATCTTGTTTACCGTATTTTTCTAGAAGAGCCTACATGAAAATGTGTTTCAACTAGTCATTTTGTCTAACTCCCCCTTACAAATTGAATTCTGTATACTGACATAACTTAAACTGCATTTAGTACAGCAGACAAATTAGAAAACTTTTTGGAAATTTTTAGGTCTGTCATATTGGAATTCTAATGTGATAAAAGGTTGTTATTCAAGCTTTGTATGCAAGAGGCAGAAAGATCTGTGTCTTTATCATTTTATGAACTTGTATTTCTCTGTATCCTAGGAAGGTTTTACCCTGTGAGGATCTGACAACACT